AAAATCCATGAAATGCTGCTGGTTTTCAGATCTTGTCTTGCTGAAAATAAACCAAAGGTCTTAAGAATCAATTGGAAAATGTTGGATTATGTTCAGAATTCAGCAAGGCACCAAATGGATTATCCAAACCACTTTGTGCCCTGAATTGTTTTTTAAACTTGGTTTGCAGAGATATACTTGAAGAAATCTTTATATTCAACATAGCTTCTTTTTTAACACATACAGACACACACAAATATTTTCAATAATTACAATATAATCAACTCTATCCCCCAAAAGCTAGGGTCACCTTGAACATATTCCCGGTTCTCCTTTGGGTGGTAAAACTATCATATTAAGGTTTTTCTTGGGCCGACCCCGTGGCGCACTCGGGAGAGTGCGGCGCTGGGAGCACAGCAGCGCTCCCACCGCAGGTTCGGATCCTATATAGGGATGGCCGGTGCGCTCACTGGCTGAGCATGGTGCAGCCAGTCACAAAACAGACAAAAAAAAAAAAAAGATTTTTCTTTTAAAATTAGTAAAAATGTATGTTCTCTGTGATATCCAGCTTTTAAAGCCAATGTTAAAATTTGATCACCGTGATTGTTATATGCCTATCTGGGTATAACATACACTGGAAATCCATAGATTTTTCTCAGCATTAAGGATATTTCATGGCAAAGTTATGGCCTGAAAAGTTCTGGCCTCAAGGTGGGCCTTGGGAGCCAATAGCGTTCAGAACTTGAACTGTCCCAATTGTCCCGAGACCCATTCGTTGCTTGTGACTCAGCTTCCACTCTCCCGTCCACCTTGGGTGTTGCTCAGGCACTGGAGCCAGCAGGGAGGGCTGGTGAACTTTACTGTCTATCTGCAAGCCTGTTATCGATGTCATTTTCCTGAAGGAGAAACCAAGGTATCTAAGGTTTATTGATCCGCCTGTAGTGATTCAGTGAGTCACAGGGAATAGGGAATAAAACCAATTACCTGGCATCGTTTCCCATGCACACAAGCCCTTACCTTGCAATGCCTAGACTGGAAGCCAAGAAGCCATCTCAGGGAATTTGATCAGAAAAGAGGTGAAGGGTGATTCCAAAACCACAGAAGCATTGAGAAAGTCATAAAGATGTATAATATATGATAGCATTTGCCAGCTATAAATAGGGGAGATACGGAGAAAAAAAAAATTGAGGCGTTGTAAATCCATTGGGTCAGGAGAAATAGAAACTGCTTAATATTTCATTAAAAATGGATTTTCATAAATTGCACTTTGATATCTTTGGGCAAAAGACAATATGTAGGGACTAAGGCGTTGTTATTTATTACTCATTGTTATTAATAATTTGAACTGTTATTGAACCAACACATCAGCAAAATATATTCTTCCTGGGAATGGGGCACTCCACATGTGTTCCGGACACTATTTAAAGTGTATAAAAATCCACAGCACTTGTCCACAGAAGCACTTAGGCTATAAGGGACAACAGGTAACTAGAATGCCCTGTTATAAAGTAGACACTCTTGGAGCAGTTCAAATCACAAAAACTCTCGTAAAGAAAGGCTTAGGATCTGAGGCAAGAGAGAATCTTACAAATCAACTTGTACATTCCCCTCATTTAACAGAGGATGAAATTGGGACTCAAGGGAGGTGGAGACACTTGCCCACACTTATGAGCTAATTAGCTGCAGAGCCTGGTACCTGGCTCCCAAACCAGTGATTTTTGTTTGTTTTTTTCCACAATGCTACACTCAGAGTGAAGTGTGTGAAGAGTTTAAATAGAAGGTGTTCCTTCAGCAAAGGGTCCAGAGAACAGAGGGCAGATGTGAACACAAGGTGAAGAGCAAACAAGAAACCAGTAAGAAAACATGAAGGATCATTTGAAGCCAAGTTGAAAAGAGTCTTCATTTGATTCTAGGGGTGGGAAAAGAGCAAAATGGAATGGAGAATGAAGTTCAGTTTGAGCAGCCAGGTAGATGACCTAGGGCAGAGAAACGATGTGCTTGCCTCTGTTCCTGACTGATGCCACTAGAGGCACAGAATGAGGGGGCTCCCCCAAAGCCTGAGGCCACATGCATCCCTGGGCAGGCTAACCCCTCCTCGGGCACATACACACAGGCATGTGCACACCCATGCCATATGCAACATTCTCACACACATGCCACCCTCCTAAAGGCAGTCAGTCCAAGTATACAACCACTTCCTAACTGAGGGAGAAAAGAAAAGGTCTCTTGGTGGTATCTGCCAAGGCTGAGAAATGAGGAGGTCCGGCAGGATAAAACTGGGTATTAAAAACACATAAGACGTGCTGTGTCTCTGAACGGTGCCAGCATGGTATGTATGTTGTGGATGAGCAGCTGTGTTCAAGTTCACATCCACTCAGCTCTCCAGTTGTGCAGTCCCATGGCAGATAAAGCTCCCCCACATCTCCTGATGGAGGCCACACACGCAGTCACCATCACCTCCTCGGGAGCTGTCCAGGGATGGCCCCCGCTGCTCACAGCACCCGTTCGAAATAAGCAAAGTGCTGCATTTGCTTCTTCCTTGCCAAAACAAAAGGAAGCACAAACAAACAGCCTCTGCCTCATGCTGAATTCTTCTCTTTTCCTTGGATTCAGTCCCTCTGTCCCTTTCCTCAGAGCTGTGGAGCCCTTTACCAGCAACAAAGAAGCAGCAGTGGGAATGGCGGGGCCAGGGCTTTCCAGGGACCCCCTTCCGTCTTCTTTCGGTTGTCTCTCTCATAAGATCGCAGAGGGTTGGGCACCTTTCCCCACGGGCCTTCTCCCAGATGTCCGGCTCTGGCTTCTTTCTTCCTATTTCCTGGGCCCTTCTCCTCCCCTTGCTAATTTTGTCTTCTCACTCATCCTCGTCCTCAGCCACTGTACAGGAAGCAGCAAGATCGAACCTGGGAGAGATGAGGGGTCAACCAGTCCTTCCTCTGTGCTCCCTGCTGTCAGCAAGGCGGCAGAGGAAGAAGCCAACAGCCTTAGGGCTCAGGGTGGGAGGATTCCCCAGGGGAAGAAAGGGAGCCTGCTGGGCAGGCTGGGTGGGAGCCCCTAAGATTTGGTGGGCTTAGCACCAGGAACTATGGTTTTTAACTCAATATGGTGGACCAGTGAAAACCTCTTTCCTTCTCTTTCATGAGCAAACCTCTTCCCTTCATTTGATTGCAAAAGGTATGATGTCTCCTATCCTTCATCCCCAACACCAGTGGTGTGTTATTAAATGGCTCTAACTTTTGACCTTAGCAAGTGGGAAATATGGAGCATTCAAGGTTGCAAATTGTGGAATTCACAGTTCACGAAGAAGAAAGGACTGTGTTATTAGTTGGCTATAAATGTCCGTGCTGCTCTTTACTGTCATCCAAAGCCATTCTAAGGTGGGATTGTAAACATCAATGGTCAGTGACTTTACTTCCAGTCAACCCACGCTTGGAGAACTTCAGGGCTCTGTGACTCCGAGCCACCAATGTGACACTGCAAATTTATTAAAAGAGATGAGTCAGCCTAGGAAACCACAAGCTTAATGCCTAAAAACTTGCCAGTCAACCCACGCTTGGAGAACTTCAGGGCTCTGTGACTCCGAGCCACCAACGTGACACCGCAAATTTATTAAAAGAGATGAGTCAGCCTAGGAAACCACAAGCTTAATGCCTAAAAACTTGTCAAGGGCCCTGGATCAAGACAGGCATCTCTGAGCCCCAGTTTCCTCACCAATAAAGTGGAGATAATAGTACTTACCTCCCAGGGTGTTATGGACATAATTACGTTTACACAGTGCCTGGCTGAAGGGTATTCAAATATGCCAGTTTCCCCATTCCTCTTGTTCCAGCCCTGTTGGTATCCCAAACACCTGGCATGCCCTGGGTATCATGAGCTAAAGCATCTAGTTCCCCTATGCAGAAGAAGTCACTGGTTGTTGAAGAGTTGGCTGTCAGTAGGTTTACAGAACTCGGTTGTTATAGCTGTGACAGGTATGACTGAGAAGTGATGGTTGGTTAGTTGGTTTTTCCCTCCACCCTTATCCAAGGAAACCAAGAGAAATTCACATGTACTTTCTCCAGTTACGTTTTTTTTTTTTTTAATGGAGAGCACAAAAAAGCATAAGGTCCATATGGCAATTATTGATTACAGCCATCTGGTTAGCTAGAACCGGCTCCTACCATGTTGGATTAGAAGCTACTCTGAAAAGCCTTTCCTCCCATAAGAGATGTATTGGTCAGATGGGGACAGGGATGGATTTCATTACAGGCAGGGACTACAGTGAGAGGAAGCTGGAGCAGGGTTCTGAGGGACTGTGCAACCCTGACCCTACAACAAAGACCAGAGAGAATCAAGAAAGTATTGATTGACACAGGGGCATTGGGGGGTCGACGGTGCCCCTCACCCTCTCACCCGCTTATGGAGTGGGGAAGCATCTAAGTGACTAAAAACACAATTGTGAAGCACTTCATAATTATTGATTGACACAGGGGCATTGGGGGGTCGACGGTGCCCCTCACCCTCTCACACGCTTATGGAGTGGGGAAGCATCTAAGTGACTAAAAACACAATTGTGAAGCACTTCATAATTATAAAATGCCCTGCAAACATTCCTAGGTGCCTGCAACATGGGGAAGAGAAGTGTCAAGTTCAAGTTAGTGGGTGAGGTCTGCTAGCCCTAAAAGATGACATTTCTACTTCATTTTTAAAGGATCGTCTACTTTTTTTCTCTCTTTCTCAGCTTATGAAGTGTTTTCCTTTTCAAGCCTCCTTCCTCTGCTTGTTCTCAGCCCAAAGGCAAAATTTTCCTTTCCTCCAAAAGTTTTTGTGAAGACCATTTATTGTTTTCAAGTTGGAGTAGTGTGGGAAATTAAATTTTTTTTCTCAGTGTTTCTAAAAAAGCCCCAAACAACAAACCCACTGATTGTTTTTTAGCTTGAGGGAAATAAAATTCAACAGAACCTTCCCACCCACTTCAAAGACTGCTCGAGTGGCTCAGCTACAAACAGGGATTTCATGAACCTGGCTCTGCTCTTACGTTACAGGTCTTTCAAGCCAACAACGACGCGACCGAGGTGGTTCTGAACAAGCTCCACACGCCGCTGCTCACAAGGTTCGTCAGGATCCGCCCTCAGACCTGGCACTCGGGCATCGCCCTCCGGCTGGAGCTCTACGGCTGCCGGGTCACAGGTGAGGTGGGCGCTCCAGTGAGGTTGGCGAGCTGATTACATCCTAGGCTGTCTCCCTCTTTCAGCCCCTGTACACAGCGTGATTGCACCCTGTGACCTGCCCAGAAAGATGGTGTATTAGTCAGTTTTGTTGCTCATAACATAATACCTGGAACTGGGTGATTTATAAGAAATGAAATTTATTGTTCATAGTTTGAGAGGCTCTGTAGTCCACAGTCCAGGAAACATGGTGAGGGCCTCCTTTAGTGGTGGCTTTAGAGCATTGCAGGGGTCTCACATGGTAAAAATTGGCAGAGCACAGAGGGAGAGACTCATGTGCACTCCTGTTAAAGCCCTCAGAACCATGCTCACTATTCCAAGAATGGATGAATCCATTCATTAGGGTACAGTCCTCACATCCAATCACCTCTTCAAGGCCCCACATTTCAGCCACCACAATAGCATTTCCCACCCTCTTAACACTGTCACAGTAGGGGTCAAGTTTTTGAGGGACATTCAATCCAAGGCAGATGAGCTCAAGCACTCGAGTCCTACCAGAGTTTGTCTTTTCATTCATTCATTCAGTATGTATTTATTAACCATCTACTATTCCTACTAGCTAACATTTATTGAATGCTGATTGTGTACCAGGTTCCATTCACACCTAAGGTGTGTTATCTTTTATCATCTTCATAGGGATTCTAAGAGCCAGTAAGTGGTAGAGCCAGAGTTTGAGTCTAGGAGGCAGTTTGAGTCCAAAGCCTGAGCTCTCAACAACACTCTCTGCTGCCTCAGCATGGCCAGGAGCTATGCACAGTGCTGTGGATACAGTGGTGAGCATGGCAGGCCCAGGTCTGTCTGGGCATACAGAGAAGTTGGACAGACATTAATTAAACAAACTAACTCATAAATAAATATAAAATCAAAACTATGATAAATGTTGGAAACAGAGGCTCATGGTCTTTGGAAGTGCAGTGTAAGGGATCTGACCCAGTCCTTGAGGAGGTGATGATTGAGCTGAGGTTAGTGGGCAGATAGGCATTACTTGGTGAAGAAGGGAGGGGAAGTGCACCGGGCAGTGGTCACAGCTTGCTCAATGGCACTGTGTTAAGATAGACCAAAAGAGAAAGTGAGAGGGGTGGGCACAGCATGTGGGCTGAAACCCAAGGGCTGTAGATTGGAGAGGACCAGAGTTGGAACTGGGACACCTGTAGGAAGCTGGCACGGTGGTATGAATCAGAGGTGATGGTGGCTGGACTAGCCCCAGATGTTTATGGACAGTCCAATCCCCTTCATCCTGTGGACTCAGCCCAGAGCAGGCAAGCTGCTTCTCGCACCTGGAAGGGTCTTCAGCATACATCCATCCACCTGCCAGCCCCCTCATCATCCCAGCCCTGATAGGGAGTGCCCCGTGGTGTGGCCCTGTTTGAGGCTTCTGGTTACACACCTTGCTTGCATTTGTACAGTCTACATCTTCCACGTCCCTTTCTTGTATATCATCCTGTCTATTTTTTCTAACAACCCTATGAGGTAAGTGGGGCAGGGACTGATAAAGAAACCAAGACTCAAAAAAGCTAAACAGCTTGCTCAGAGTCACCTAACTAGGATGTGACAGAGCCAGGAACTGAACTCAAATTTTCTCAATACAAATTCTCTGCTTTTATCACCTTTACACAAAGACCCAGCTTCCCTCTTATGGGAGAAATTTATTCTAATCCTGCCTAGGGACTGTTTTCTATTCCTTCCATGTTGCTGCTCCAGACCCCTTGTTTTCCTCAGAAGAGCAGGGCCCCTAAAAATGAAGGGGGTATTGCATGTCTCTGGTCAGCCACCTTTGCTGAGCAGTTTCTATTCTGAACGCAGAGGCAAGGACTGGGTTGGACACCCCTTGTTTTCCTCAGAAGAGCAGGGCCCCTAAAAATGAAGGGGGTATTGCATGTCACTGGTCAGCCACCTTTGCTGAGCAGTTTCTATTCTGAACGCAGAGGCAAGGACTGGGTTGGAGGCATTGCAACTCTCTGCTCACAATTCCAGAAGCTTGGAAAGTCTCAGGGCTTGTAACTGGAACCCACAGTGGATGGGTCAGAAGTTGAACCATAGGCTTCCCCAGGGAGCGCTGATCCTGGCTCTTCTTGGGAAAGGAAGTGATCTTTGCCAGGCTCACAGCCCTCCCTGAGACAGTGCCCCCTTTTGCAATTGTGGTCCTGGGGCATCCTGCAAAATAGGGTGGTCCTGCAGCATTCTTGCAGGCTAATCAGCCACAGCCCTAGCCACCCCCTTTCCCCAAACGAGTGGCTCCAAGGTGTTGGGTCCCCACTGGCTTCCACCAGGGCAGCTCCACCGCCATCAGTTTTCTGTACTGGGGCTTTTGACAAACTTGCTTCCCGTAAACAAGGGTTTGGAAAACAGCCTCTAACTATTAATGTGTGGCCACAGGACTTTTTCATTAGCCTAGAAAGAGGGTGGTCATTTTCCCTTCAGGCTCTCAGTGGACTGGGAACTATCTTTCAACTGAGACTTTCTAAATCTAGACTTCAGTAAACCGAGGAATTCAGAATGGTCTAAATTGCCTTCTCTTCTCTCTGGCCATGTTCAGCTTAAACTGCATTTGAAGCCTAATTCTCCTCCGAGTCCTCAGTTTCAGTCCTGGGATAAAAGATATAACCTGGCAACTGCCACTTTTATCTGCTCCCTATTTACCATAATTTGGGGTCCCTAACCACCTTCCAAATGAATAAAAACCTAGGTCTGAAGATAAAGCTCCCACGGATCATAATGTCCCAGTAACCATAAATCAACCATGCAGCTGCCTTCCCGGTTGGATGAGGGGCGGGGAGGAGAAGGGGAAGGAAAGGGGGGAGGGCAAGGGGGGAGGAGTCTCACACAGGAAGGGCTGAGTGGCCGTCTCCCTGCAGCTGTTCGAAGGGAACATGCACTACGACACCCCTGACATCCGAAGGTTCGACCCCGTTCCAGCACAGTATGTGCGGGTGTATCCAGAAAGGTGGTCGCCGGCAGGGATCGGAATGCGGCTGGAGGTGCTGGGCTGTGACTGGACAGGTAAGGCTCTGCTTTCCTCTCCAGGTCTCACTCACATGGTCTCGTGACCTTGGCATCCCGGGATGCCCTGGGAGGGTGGTGGAGGCGGCAGCCATCCCTGCTGAGGCCCTGTCAGCTGGAAACCCTGCAAACCCCTGTCCACCTCAGCCCCTCTCGTGTTCTCCTGCCTCAGACCATGGGTACTACAGCTTCTGGACTTGGGACAATTTCTCAAGTGATGTGCTTTGTCTTTTTTAAAGGATCATTTCAGTTCTCCAGAACTGGATGACCAGGGTCGCTCAAAAACAAATCATAACCACACACCACCCACCCAAATTCAATTAGACCCTGACTCTTCAGGCCAGAGGGCTGTGGCTGTTGATTTAGGGAAGAAAAAAACCCCTCATGATAATAAAGTAATTGGTTTATGTCTGAATCTGGCTTCCAGATGTCAGTGGCTAAGAGACTTCATTTTCATTTTGAAGCCACATCTGTAAAAGGCATTTATTTGCTCAGGAGGAACCCTGTTGCAGAGGAGCTGATGGGAACAAGGCTTCTTCCCAGTGTGTGGCAGGGGTCTTGCTCATTCCTGCCCCCGCCAGGTGGCACAGGCCTGCGGGAGTGCCCACCCCTCCTTGTTTCTGAGGGAGGGCCCTACCCTTCTGAGTCAGGCCCCACCTTTCCTGTGGGCACCGGCCCTCCTCCCTTGGCAGAGCTGGCACTAGATCTCACCCGGTGCTCACTCACTGCCTGCCAAAGGAGCTTGTGAAAGCCAATGGGGGCTCAGGGCCCAAGCCCAGTGCCAGCAGAAGCAGCCAACAGGCCAAGCTGTCCTGCCTGTGTCCCCCAGGGCCCCAGGTATCCACATTTTCCTGTCTATGCCATACCTGTCACCAGCTCCCCCAGCAGGATAGCATGAAGGATTAATAACAGCATGTTGGAGAAGGGCTTTGGCTCCCAAGGAGAAAAATGCTGCCTATGTACTGGCTACACTGGTGCAGAGGAGCCTGTCGAGGCACGCAGGCTGGGAACCAGCCCAAATTAGCCTCTCTCACCTTTGAATTGAAGGCAGCCCCAACAAACACATCTTAGTAAGGAGGCTGAGGCTCCCTGCAGCCCACTAAATGTGTGTCACCTGTCCCGTCACTGAAAACCTCCCCTCCAATTCAAGCTGGCTTATTTATGGCCACTTTAGAATCAGCTGGTTAGCAATATTGGGGATCCAGGAGTTTCTAGACCAGCGGCTTTCAAATATTTTTGACCATGATTCACAATTTAAAATAAATCTGTATCACAACGCACTTCATTCACAAGCCCCCACACATGTGTGCATCTGGGGTATAGTGTACTGGTATGGTTAAGTACGTGGACTCTGGAGACAGATTGTCATGTTGAAGTCCTGCCTCTGCCCATTGCTGGCTGCATAACCTCGGACAAGTTGCTGAGTTTCTCGATGCCTTGGTTATTGTAGCTGAAAAATGGGCATGACAATAGTCAATCTACACCCCCTTAGATTGTTATGAGGATTAAATAAAATCATGGATATGAAATACTTAGACTGCTGCCTGGCACCTAGCAAACCTGTTGTAATATTTAAATGTAACTGAAACAAAAGGTTCCCAAAGTGACTCTGAAATATTGTAGCCCATATTTTTAAAATGCTAGTCATGACCCATTAAATTGATTCCACAGCCTACTGATGAGTATGACCTATGGTTTGAAAAAGAATCACAGATCTAGACCAACTCCTCTTTCACAGGCAGGGAAATTGAGCCCCAGAGAGAGGAAGCCACTTGCCAGAGGTCACTCAGCTAGTAGGGGGCCAACTCCTACTTCCCTCCTGTCCTTTGCCCTTCTGTGCCATGCTCTCCCCGTCTGGCCCTGCTTTATGACCGGCTGGACAGTTGCTAATGACCTCTTCCCTTTCTTGCTCCCCGCTACTCTAACCTGCCCCAGATCACACTGGTAATGGTCAGCCACAGGTTTCTCATTTCAAAGCCCTGCCTAGCCATTCCTTGGAAGATCAGAGTTGAGGCACGTCACCCTCTACCCAGCCTCCTTCCCTTTGAAGTCTCTGACATCTGGTTTTAATTTCGGGGGGCGTTGCTGTTTGATGGGCAGTTACCTCAAAGCGCCCAGTACAAACACAGTGGGCACAGAGGCCATCTGCCATTCCTCCACTTTCGTTTACATTCCCTGCTCTCTCATCGCCTCGCTGGCCCCTGGTTTGACATTATCTCCACCAACCACCTGGCCCATTTTGCTACCAACCATTTCCAGAAACTGTTCTCCTTAGGTGGCTTTTTTTTACTTTTCAAATTTCCTTCCATGTCTCTGACTCATCCTGGCTTCACTTCTTCATTCTTACCCCAAAAGGATAGGAGGAAAAATAATGGGCTGGGTCGAGTTGCTCTGTAGCTAAATAATTGGACGGGGCTGCTTCACCTGTTCGTTCATTTGTTTGTGTTTCAAATGATTACTTCTTGCCTTGCCGCCCATAGTTTGCTTTACAATTGAGTTTGAGATTCTATGACACAGTGACAAATTTGAACTTACAAATTACGATGCTCCAAGGCTATTTGCTATTTACTGTGAGCAAGAGGCAGACACAGCAAAAAAAGTATGAAAGGTTATGTGCATAGTATTTAATAGCAGAAAGGTGGGAAGTCAACCGTGAAAAAGCTATTCAGCGTATTTAGCAATTTCCTCCAGCTCCTGGCTTTATTAAGTGGTATCCTGAAGGGTGCCTGACAAAGGCGCCTAATCACACACAATAGTGCAAAGGAGCATGTATAGAAGCAGGAGGAACAATGCACCGGCTTCTTCAGGGCTTCTCGTTGAAGGGTGGCTCTGGGATGAAGACGCCACCCAGAACACATGGACTTGAGCAGCCGTTTCCAGAACCCCTTTGCACCCCACCCAGGGCGTGACTCACAGCTCCATTCATTCCCTAAATGGTTGCTGAATGAATGAGCTTCTTCAGGGCTTCTCGTTGAAGGGTGGCTCTGGGATGAAGACGCCACCCAGAACACACGGACTTGAGCAGCCGTTTCCAGAACCCCTTTCCACCCCACCCAGGGCGTGACTCACAGCTCCATTCATTCCCTAAATGGTTGCTGAATGAATGACTGGCGTGAGTAAGTAAAGAAGTGAATAAATGGGTGAATGAATCACCTAGAGCCCAGGTCAAAACCCACTGCCTGCAGCCAGGTTTGGGCTAGCCAGGTTTTATTGCATGCTGCTATGTATAACATTTGGAATTTGTTGCCAACATTTAAGAGTCTGGAGATTTTACTTAGGGATTTTTGCCTTGTTGAGGGAGGGCAAAATGTGGAAGACCTGGGCATACTGGGCCACCTCCCCTCTGGGCCTCAATCTGCTAGAGCCAGTCTTGATGGCCTCCTTTAAATGAGACATGCAAGATGCCCTCTGCCACCACTTCTACCACTCCTTACTCTCTCCCCAACCCCTAGTCTGCTTTCCTCCGGGACAGTAGCTGTTTGGATCCAGGAAGCATTTGAATTTGCCGCACCCTGACCTAAAGGCACAGCCCCGAATTACTTTCACCAAGTATAGTTTGAGTCCCTTTAAATCCATGTAAGTCCATCCAGTTTTGTGCAAACACAAAGACAATGTCTGGGATCATGCTTTCCAAGCAGTTGGGCTCTGCTTATGGCTTTGGGGATAGTGCTTCTGACGATGTTATTATAGGTAGGCCCCATAGGTCAGAAGGTCTTATAGGGTGGCTTTGGTTCAGAAAAGTTCCATCTGACTCAGAGAAGGCTGTAAAGAGAAAGTTGTTCCAGGTGAAGGCTGGTGTGGCAGGGAAGGCACGCCCGCAGCCATTCATGGGGCAGTACACGACGCATTTCCCACCTAACAGAAGCTCACTCCATTAAGCACCAAGAATTTTCAACCCAGTTTTGGAGGGCATCATTCACTTTCTGTATGTGTGTTACTCATGCTTCTGTCTTAAACGGAATACCCGGAATGTGGTTTAACCTGCCCTGGGGCGTGGACTTCTGTGCTGGCCTCAAGGCCTCCACTGCAGAGTAAAGAGCATGGGTTTGTGTCTGTGCCTCTGTCATTGTTTTTGCAGTTCAGACAACGCTCATTCAACACACGCAATGCTCCTGACTCCATTGATGGCACACAGAGGTGACTTGGGGGTTGTGTGCCACACATGTGTATCTTTGTTTTCCTTCTCTAAAACCCCACACTTAGAGAGGAAGCTTAGGTTTTGGCATCTTTCTCCTGCTGCGTTGCAGCAGGCTGCTGCAGCATTCTCTTCCCTTGCCTTTACACAGACTCGAAGCCCACAGTAGAGACGCTGGGACCCACCATGAAGAGTGAAGAGACCACCACCCCATATCCCATTGACGAGGAGGCCACGGAGTGTGGGGAGAACTGTAGCTTTGAGGATGGTAAGAATCAGGTTGAGAGTCATATTGCATCTGGGATGGCATGGTGCCGACCAGTCGGAGTAGGGGCTGGCCTGTGGCTGGGCAGGTACCTGGAGACCCCTGGGTCAGAGGTCCAGGGGGTCTCAGGGGGGTTGAGAGTCATATTGCATCTGGGATGGCATGGTGCCGACCAGTCGGAGTGGGGCCTGGCCTGTGGCTGGGCAGGTACCTGGAGACCCCTGGGTCAGAGGTCCAGGGGGTCTCAGGGAAGGAGTCAGGGAGGTATGGGTACTTAGGGGCTGGGGGAGTGGCAATTTACAACCAATCTAGAAGCATTCAGATATTGTAACAACTACTACAGCCCTATGGGTGTGAACCTACTGGTCATCAGCTGAGATAGAGGTGCCTCCAAAGAGAACTCCTCCTTTGAGAAGGCTCACGGTTAAGTCCTTACCACCTTGCTTCTCCTGTTAAAGGAAAGCCATTCTCATCCTTACAATTCACAGCTATGATAGTTGTTCCTGTTAAGCTGTGTCTCCATGGTACAGTCAAGTGAAGATCTGGCAATCACCTGGGTGATTTGGTCCACGGAGCACGACAGTAGGGTTAATTCAGCAGTTAACCATGGCTTACTTGCATCTCCCTGTGTCTTCCACCGCCACTGATTTGAGGAAGTATAACCACGATGACTCTAAGATAGTGTATCACGTTTTCTATGACTTGAGTGCAGATCAGAGACAACAGCAGAAGAGTGAAAAGGCATCCTGAGCTATTCCTGCAAAACTCAGGGGCTCCGCAGTTTTGGATCAGTCTCCTCACATGGGAGATCTGTCTTCCTTTCATTTTATCTTTGAAGCATATCCAAGTTAGATTAAAAATAATAATTGGCAGAGCCCAAAAGTAAGTTGCATTTTAAATCATACTGTTAAGGTCACCAAGTATGAGGACGTTCCTAATAAACCACAAATTGTGAAACACCTGGCATTTGGGGCTAGAATTTTAAGCTTGACAGCCTCAATTTAGAGTAAATTATTGATCATTACTAAATGCTTATTAATCAAAATGAGGGAAGATTGGCGAAGAGACTTGAGAAGTGACAGAGACATAAAGACATAGATGGCGAAGTCCGTGGAACCTGCACACCCAGCCTTTTGACAGTAGGAGGAACTGTGCGAATGGAGGGGACGGCTCCAAGAAATGGCTACAAAGAAGAGTGGGAGAAAAGCCAAAACTAAATGCTGAAGTTGTATGACTGAAAAATGATAATTCAATGCACATGCTTTTGGGAATGTGCTTTTGCGTATTGTGTGGGTGGGGGACACTATTGGTCAGGATTAGTTGAATACAGAATTCTGACATTTTAATGAACTTGTTTTTGCTTTATGAAGAGATGGGGAAGTCTTGGAGAATCTTCCGAGACATGTTTAAGATAGCTTGAGAGCCAAAAGTGGAATGCATAGGGAGTTAATATAAGGTATTGGGTTCGCAGAGCTAGCCTGTTGGGGGACAGGGGGTGGGAGTTCTATCTAAATGACAATCCAAAGGAAATTTAGGAAATTTTGCTGCAAAATTTCAGTTTATTTTTAATATAATTTTCCTGTTTACGGTAGTATGTTTCATTTGAGGTTTCTTTGATGGTTCCTCTCTTCTCTTTTTCTGCAAAAGATCTTTTTGTGGAATTTGGTTCCTGGGATACAGTATGCATGTAAACATTAGAGAGGAATGATGGTATATTGAATTACCCCATATTTTGAATGGAAAAATAGAAATTCAGAAATTGTCAGCAGAAGGGGATGGCGAAGGCTAAGGGCTGGCTTTTCCAAGCCACAGGTTGATGCTTCTGTAATAGATTCCATGTGTTCCTTCTCCACTCACACTGACTTTGGCCGGGGATAGGCAAACATTAACTATTCTCTATTGGGAAGGGGGTACAAACAGGGTCTGGTGGCAGTCTGCCTCCTGCCTCCAAGGTCAGCACTGCCCTGTCCTCCTAGAGGTGAGCCCCCCTCACCCTCTTGCTGAGCAATTTGTTTCTGTTAGTCTGTTGTTCCCTTTAGACTTCTTAACCTGCATTCTAAGCCTTCCCCACGGAAATTCCTCTTTGGGAACCCTGGGAAGGGAAGTGAGAAGGCCAAAGACCCCACTTCCTCCTCTGCCACCAGCATCGGCCAGTGCTTTTCCGCTGTCTCCGCAGCCACTGCCAGCATGCATCCAAATTTGGGTTCCTGTTTCCTCTCTTTCTCCACCTCCACGCCACCCTTACTTACTCACATATTTGGCACCAGCTCATACTGGGTTTTTGGAGCTGGATGGAATCTCCAAAGAAACTACCTTGATTCAGTCTTCTGGCTTAGGCAGGTGAACCACCAATGCAGATGGGACAGGCCATTGTGTAGTCACTTCTCAGATTTCCATGAGGCCCTGGCCTTCGAGGCCTCAGCACAAATGTGAATTACTTTTCCTCCTGATCAGCACTGGGCTGGGCAGCCGGCTGGTCTGGCCCCTTCCTTTTGCCCCTAACCTGCCAAATTCCCCGCCTGGTAATACCTCCCCATGGAGATGGCAACTGTCCCCGTCCTCTGAAATAAGAGACGTATCACAGAGAGGTGAAGGGGAGCAAACAAGCCTTCCTTGTTTCTGAGGCCACTTGCTCCTCATGGGCCAGAACCTCCCAGGCATTTCGGCCTCTCTGGATGCTAATGGGTTGCTCCATCACTTCTGAGAGCCAGGGAGAGGTGAAGGGGAGCAAACAAGCCTTCCTTGTTTCTGAGGCCACTTGCTCCTCATGGGCCAGAAACTCCCAGGCATTTCGGCCTCTCTGGATGCTAATGGGTTGCTCCATCACTTCTGAGAGCCAGGTTGGCAGGAGATGAGATAACACTTTTTTTGGGAGCCAGCCTTCCACTGAGGCACTGGGGAGACATTCTTCTCTGGCATTGAGGAAACTGCAATTTTCACATTTGTCGGCTCTCCGAGGTGGACAGCAGAAGCTGATTAAAGCCTGAAGCCATTTGGTGGCCTCATTTATAATTGCTTACTATGGAAACCACTGGCAGACTTGGCTTTCATGCCTGGGAAGGATGAGACCAAAGGCTGACCCAAAAGCCGGCGATCGCCAAGATGAGTTGAATGAATAAGCAGAGGGGGCCACTTCTTTCTCTGCTCTCCACTTTGGCCTCGCCAGCCATTTAAACAGCACCACTGTGGCTGTTCTCTGAACCTGTTTCATTTGCCTTCCTTTGAGTTATTTTTTCCTCCCTTTTAGACAAAGATTTGCAGCTCCCTTCAGGATTCAATTGCAACTTTGATTTCCCTGAGGAGCCCTGCGGTTGGATATACGATCATGCCAAGTGGCTCAGAAGCACCTGGACCAGCAGCTCCAGCCCGAACGACCAGACGTTTCCAGGTAAGCCAGCTGCGAAGGAGTTAAGAGAAAGAAGAGCTAAGACTAGCCTGCTCCTTGTTCCTCAGCCCAGACTCCCTTCCAAGCTTCATAGCTTCCCACCGCACAGCAATCCTCTGTTCTTTGCCCACAAACCACCACAGTCTTTGCTCAAGACGTCACCTCACAGAAAAGCCAGTTGGTGGTTCCCAGCCCTCTCTTGTGATTACAGCACAGCCTGGAAGCAGGACAGGAGAGAGGGAGGCCAAGAAAAAAGAAAGCAGATTAAGAAAGAAGGAGCAATTGAGAGGTCCTAGGAGATGGGGCGAGTCAATGTCCTCTTGTTCCCCTAGCCAGCTCTGGCTGTCACCATCACAGAGCCTCTTGTCAACTTGGAGCTGGGTATTGTTCCTAAAATGGCTCATTGGGTAACCAGTGGCCTTGAGTCTGACTGATACTTCTCTGAGGGTGTCATCATTTCTGCAGCAAACCAAATCGAGGGGCTGAAATCCTGCCACACCCACGGGTGTCTAGCAGAGCCGCCGGCACTTGGCTTCTGCAAGAGTGGTGCTGCCAGCCCTTGAAAGACTGTTGGGCCCACCCTTTTAGTTCAGAGAGCCAGCGTGCAGAAGCCTCCTGGGACTTCCAGTAGAGAAGTGTTGCCCATAGCCCTTCTAAACAGTGGAATGGAAGCAAGAGTTGTCTTCTGTCTCCACTGTCACTTCCTTCAACAGTGGCGTTTTGGTAAATGTTTAACAACAGGTTTGCAGGGATTGGTAAACAACCAAACCTGTTTTATAATGTTTGCCACTTTCAGTGGTATAAATATTCTTACCATGGTTCAATTCAAGCTACCAACATAACAAAGTTGGAGGTGGAGTTGGGCAGTGCAGTAATAAGGCACTATGTGGGGGGTTTTCCATCCTGCAGATACACTAGCTACAAATAATCGCAAGAGCATAGATACTGGGAAAAATATATTAAAATAACGAAGAAGTGTTGAGTTTGAGTATTCATTACCTTTGGTTTTTAATATAATTTATTGAGTTTTAACTTTATATGATTTAATGTTTAACAATGATTATATTTAACAACTGGCTTGCAAAATTCCAGAAAATTTTTAAAGTGTTTCTCACAAGCTGGTACAAGTTGGCTCCAGCACACCACACAGTAGCTCCCAATTTTCCTACACCTCTGGCCTGGACCTTACACCTCCATAATCATTTGAGAGGAAAGGGGTTAATTCCAGAAATTTGGTAGATCAAAAGTTGCCAGGGTACAAGGGGGAAAGACGAGAAAATAAAAGGGGGACGGGGCCTCCCCTACTGCAGGCCTCCCCAGAGCTGCTCTCCTGCCCCTCACCCCAACTACTGTCTGTGCCCCTTGTCCCCAGGAAACAGCGGTGGGACAGACACTAGGAGAGCACTTCAGGCCAGCCTCCTGACACAGCCTGCACTGCTTTCCCAGAGGGTCACAGCATCTGCTCTGGAGAAAAACATTTTCATATTTCAAGTGTTTATCTCTTCAGTAGTTGAGTGCTCGGAGAGATTAATATCTGAAGATCACCAGGGCCTCAGGCAGCAGGAGCGAACACTTACCCCAGTCCAAGCCTTAATCACCCTCCCCCCACTTGTTCACTGCAATAATGTTTAATTAATATAATGAGCCTCCTGCATGTTGGAAAAAAATACTTATTTTTATAACCCAGCCTAGATTTTTCATTTCATTTCCTCTCCTTTGAGACTGGGTCCAATTAATTGGTTTTACCCAACCCCCACCTTTTATCTGAATGTGAAGAGGGTTGGTGGGTTGTGTGCATGCGTGTGTATACATGGTGTCTAGGTGAGTGTGGGTTTGTGGTTTCTATGCATGGGTGTGTGTGTCTGTGAGGTGTGTGCAGACGGGCAGCTTGGCAGAGGCACTTTGTTTTTTTTTTATTTGTTTGTTTTGTCCTTTTTGAGACCGGCCGCACCGCGCTCAGCCAGTGAGCGCTGTGAACGCACCAGTCATCCCTATATAGGATCCGAACCCGTGGCGGGAGCACTGCTGCACTCCCAGCGCTGCACTCTCCCGAGTGCGCCACGGGCTCGGCCCGGCAGAGGCACTTTGAATAAAGGCGGTGGGGAGATGCACTGGCTCTTATTCAATATCTCTCTTCATGTTCTTTCTAAGAACTCTGGCCTCCTCCCTTGTACTCTTCTAAGCAAATTTTCTCTGAAAGTGTCTGAGGCCAGCCCTGCCCAGGCTACAAGGCCACCAATTAGCAAGTGACAGTTCTGGAAGATCTTAAGTTTCCTCCCTGTGACCCCGGCCTGTACCTCTGTCCCTTTGCCTGTTTGCCTCCACCACATCCTCCTCGGTCCTGTCCTCACCTGAATGCCCTATCAGTTGACCCTTGCTACTGGTTGGGAATTCTAGTCTTTGTCCTCATTCCAGTTGATTCATTGCACCCCGCGGTGTGGGAGGGCTTGTCAGAGCGAGCTCACAAAGCAGGCAGAATTCCAACCTTTGGCTGAATGGATGGGGACAGAGAGAAAATGAGGGCCATCAGGAACTGCTAGATCTAATGTTGTTTCTCCCTTAAGATACCAAGAAGGAAAATAATTATTTTCCTCCTCCAGAGGAATCCCTGAAGTTGGGAAAAGTGGCACTTGTAACCTGCCTCCAGGAAACAAAAGCCTAGTATTGTTCTGAGAGCCCTTCGTTCCATCTGATGATGATTTTAAAAACCGTTTTCTGTATTTCCCATTTTCCTTCTCCTTACAAAACTCGATATTGGGCATTAAGCAGGAGAGGAGAGAAAGCCCTTTCTGTTCAGGGTGGTCCTTTCTTCTTCACAAATCGGGGCCCTGAGGGGTGCAGTTGGGAGAAAGGAAACAGCTGTGCTCGGTTAGGGGCAGGGCAAACGCTAATGGGTTCAGAGTGGTGGCGCCTCCCAGGTCAACCTGAGGCTGGCGGTGTCACCCGTCCTTGGCCGTTCCACAAACAGGAGAGTGTTCTGCTCCTTACAAGAAGCGTGCCACATGCTTTCACCCCTCATTAGGGAGGTAAACAGAAGTAATTAAATTTAAGAAAGGTGGTGCAAGTGTAGAGGGAGCGGGGCTAAAGAGAAGCGAGGAAAGTCGAGAGGAAATAACCATGTTGAAATATCCTACACAGGCAATTTGATCACAAGTGTCTGTGGAAAATACTTACATTCCTTAAATATTTTCTGATTTAGTTGTTTTCTCATGTTTTCTTTTTTTTCCCTTTTCTTTTTCCTTTTAAGTAAGCAGTTAGTTCTGTTTTTTGGCTAGCGGTAATGGTTGCTTAAGGCTGACAAGACACCCACTGGTTTCATTCCACTGTTTTTGTTTTTTCAAGATAGTCTTTCAAGCCACTCTGAATTTCTTTTTTTAGCCCGTTGCTGTGGCTTAGCTGCCTGGAGTGTGTTCATACCGGCCCCTGGGAACCCTGTCTCAACTCAGTGACCCCTGGCGGTTGTAGAGGAAACTGCCCCACGTTCTTTGAGAAGCCCCTTTGCCTTTTCTCTGGAGCCACAACGATGTAGAAAAGGTCTCCCTCAGTCGGAGCTGACATATTTTCTACAGACATTCTCTGGTGCTTTGATCATAAACAGAATTTCGAGAATGCTCAGACTCAGGTCTAAAGGAATGAAGCAAAAACTCCTTGAGGTGATAGGGTTATCTGCGGTGGCTAAACATTTAAATTAGAACTAATTAAAATTTCTACAGCTAAAACTTGAGTTCCACTGTTGCAATAGTCACACTTTAAGGACACAGTAGCCACACTGTATTGGCCAGTGCACATATAGAACATACCCTTCATCACATGTTGTATTGGACAGCACTGCTCTAGAGCCTTGGGGCCCTTACTGATGCTTTCGTTCCCTGGTTAGGCGTAAGCAAAGGAGCAAGTAATTAGAGAGAGATGTGTCTTTTCTATGATCCCTTGATGGGAGTGTTCAGTGGCTGGTATTTTTTTTATCACAGTGTCTTTGTACTTCACTGAGCAACCATAGTAAAGTAAACAAGTAATATAGCATTCAATGGTATAGGAACTATTTTGGTCAATCAAAATGAACATCCTAAGTAAATACTAATACCAATAATAATAATTGCTATTGTTCTTTAGTCTTTATTACTATTATTGTCAGGAATGAGACAAGAAGACTAGAGATAAAGGGTACTATACCAGGTCAGCTTCAGAGTCTTCAAGCGTGTGGTATGCTTAAATGTGAGCTCTTTTCTACGCTGGTTGACCTTGTAAAGTATGATTACAGTATTACTTCATTGCAATAACTTCAAATTATGGAAGTGAGATAAAGAAAACAGGCACAGCCTGTTTGGAATAGCATGCCATTGTGAAAGGACAGAGCTTTGGCTGCCTAGCTTGCATGTTTATGGGATTGCGAGAACAGAACCTTAACTCTGGGTTCAAAAATGAGCTCAAGTGGGAGTAAGTCAAGAATCCTAATGTTCTGAAATATTCAAATTTTACAAATGGCGACTATTCCTTCTAATGTCGGTGGTAGACTTGTTCACTCCATTGGGGCTGTCTTGATGCAGCTTGGGCCATTGAATAAACTCCACGAGAGTGAAGACCAGAGCTGTGACTCACCGTGGACATGCACATGAGAGGATTAAGTGAACTGTGGGTGGGTGTGGTGGGATTTCTTGTAGAGAAATCAAAGGAAATTATTGACAAGTGAGCTTATGATGAGCTTGAATTTTGACAGTGAACTAGCTGTGATTCTGAATTAAAAAGCAACTCTCTGAGATCAAACGATCAGGTGGGACCAATGATAGCAAACAATCCAGATACTGGGTTGGTCTTACGTTGAATTGTCTTTAGAAAGAGGTTGCTGTGGCTTGACTGGTGCACAGACACTGCAAATACAGAGACAGGAACTTCTCGGGCTGTGGTCCATGATAGATAATTAAAGAACAGCTTGCCTAAAAGAAAGGCAACATTCAAGGAACAATTTCAGCTAGAAAAGGAAAGAATAGAGGCCCTTCCTTAAG